CACAGGAAACTCATAAAACAGTGTGGAAAATGACCAAAAATAGACATTTATGGCAGACATGAAGGACAATTATCCCCATAAAGCACCAGTCTCACGTTTAATAAATCTGCGCATACAATGACCCGGCCAGCAAATGAAAATAAACCTGAAAGATAGAAAAGAAAGTAAACGTGAAAATCTATTATTTTTACGATAAAAGACAGATGAAAATATATACTATTCTGTTATCAATAGCTTTCTAGGTGTCTGCTTGTCTGTCTCAGGTAAAATACGGGTGTCAATAAATCTTTGAGGGTAGACAGGCTCAGTAACAGAGTATCAACTTACCAACCGCCATTTGACTAGTTACTGATCCTCTTTCCTCATGATTATTGTCGAGTTAAATGATATCTAGTTTTGATTGGAGCAAAGAAATTGAGAGATTAATTAAGCGTAAAGTTAATAGTTTTCCCCTTATGACTGAGGTGTCAACAATTCTTTAATTCTTTTTTCTGCTAAAAAACCTCTCTTACGCAAATTCATAGACAAATAATACAGATGGGATTTCTTCCTAATCAATAAAAATGGACAATTGTCAGTCTTATTCCAAGATTTTTGTACTTTGTTGCCTTCAAACCAGACGGTTCTTGACTATTTCCATTTTGAGCGCGAACACTATTTTTATTTTTACTTATAGTTCTTTTGCTTTTAACTTGGATTATATATATATATATATATATATATATATATATATATATATATATATATATATATATATATATACTAACAGCATAACCCAGTGTTGCCAGTGCTTCATTCAAAAATCGCACAACTCATACAGCAATCGCTATCACTTGACTTAAAAATATTTTTGCCCTTCCTTGCCTTTAAAGGAGTGCCCTTTGTCGTGCTGATGTTGCTACATGCCTTACTTCTTGCCTATCTCACACTGCGAACTTTTTCTAAGCTCTATACTAAACATTAAATCTGTCAGGAAAAAAGAATTAAACAAAATGAACACAAAACGATCAGCTTTAAAAAAAAGGACTCGTAACTGGAAAAACCGAATGAAAAAAAGAATGTTAACAACAAATACTTTTTCACACCCAACCCAGTTCTGCGGAATCTGAATCAACGTTGAGTTTAAGCAAGTGAATGAGCCAATTGGAGTAAAGTGTCATGCAGATTTAAATATTACCCACTTGTGACGAATGCAGCTATCGATTTTTTTGCATGCTAGCATGCTAGTTAACATTCGTGTCAGTCAGCTGTTGGCTCTCACGCTGGCCAATAGAATCTTCCTATCTATTCGTGGCAGCCAGCTATAGGCTTTCACTCTGGCCAGTACAAAATGGCCGCAAACTACCGTAGAAGCATGAAAACATCGATTATTTCCACTATCGATGGGAGTTGGGAAATGCAAAGTCGGTATTGGCCTTCCCGCTAACTTGGAGCATATGCATGTAAATTTTGGTGCAAATCCGTCGAAAATTGCGGCCGTGCATTCGTTACACACACACACACACACACACACACACACACACACACACACACACACACACATCCTGCCTTTTATATATATTATTTTGTCTCTTTATTTTGTCTTGTATTATTTTGCCGTGTTCATTTGCCTTCTTCCTCTTCTTGTATTATTGCAATGCTCCTTCTTGTAGAGTAAGTAGTGTTGTGCGCGTGAAAAAACAGTTACAATATCGAGTTAAACTACCGAGTTATTATTTTCAATATGTGGCATATTTCAAGCGTATAAAACTGTCTATTAGAATTGTGAAGATTTTTTTTTATATCATTTTGATACTCTAATCAAGAAAGAAAGAACGTTCAACAATAAAACCGAAAGAGAATAAAGAAAGAAACGCCACCATCTGTGTCAGGAAACTCATGAAGTCCCACCAACTAATTCAGGACACTAATACCGTCTTGCAGCCTTGTTTAAGGCTCTAGAATTTCAACACGGATTTTCAACACGGATTTTCAACACGGATTTTCAACACGGATTTTCAACAAGAGACGTCGCTTAGTGGATTATAACTCTTGATGATGACATATCGGGACCGGCAACGTTAAAGTGTCATATTCTCTGATTAAGAGGAAGAAACGAGTAATCGATGCGGTGGTGAATAATACTGCAGCGAAGTAGGTAAGCATGGAAAACAAAATGAGAATAATCTGCACTCGTGGGTTAAATAAAAAGTGCAACTTGAAATTCTATTACCGTAGTGTACAATGGCCTAAACGCGATGAATATAACGTTCAAAATGAGCAAACTAGTTCGAATAGTAAAGCACGTAATAAATATCATATAATAATAATTGTACACTATTTACTTTATTCGGACTATTGTCCTAATCTTTTTTGCCATATTTATCACAACGTTTCGTCCATTGTACGCTCCGGCCTTCTTCAGGTGATTGGAATGTCGAACTCAACGCTTTATTTCGCTCGCTGGGGTAGACTGTTCTAGTTCAACGTGCCATGTCTAATGGGTGTCAGTTTTCAGTTATCTCCTGTTAATTCCCCTCTTCAAGTTCTCCACTGCTTTAACCAGGTATTAAACTCACAACTCCTTGGGTCCTGTCACTGCATCTAACTAACGCCTTTATCCACTGTGCCATATGCCCTTAAGTTAGAAAGAAAGAAAGAATGAAAGAAGGAAGAAAGAGAAGATAGAAATTTTTAACTTCTGTCAATACCTCATAAATAATGGACTATTCCGTTTTGATTGCGTGGAAAAACAAAACACGTATCAAATGTGCTACGTGGTTTCAGGGAGAAAATGAATGAAAAAAAGAAAGAAGAAAGAAAGAAAGAAAGGTGGGACGATAGAAGTGTATAACGGTTATTTCAGTGAATGAAAAAAAGTTGTCAATATCACATCTTTTCATTTGTACCCACTTATATTTATAATTGTTATTGCACTATTTTGTTAAAGTTGTTAAGCTCAAATATTTAACAACGTGATAGGGAAATTCCTACGGATATTTTATTATCGTAAAACTTGCCATGAGCTTATTTAATCATTAACTTAAGAATTAAGATTCATCAGAAAATTCAAATAGGAAAACCGTGAAATTTCCACGGGTTTTTGTAGTTATAATAATTACTCATCACAAAATTCAAACAAAAATTAGATGTTTTTTTTTAGCGGCAAAGCAACCCTTATGGATTATTTACTGCCAAAATCTAAATATTTTGAACACAATTTTATGTCTTCAACTACATATATTTTTATACTTTCAGAATAAACGTATGCTTTTTAGATATATAGTTTGTAGATTGTCCACTCTAGGTGCTGTATGTTATAAAAATATATTGATGGTCATTTTGTCATAAAAATTTATTGCTGTTTATTTTTTTTATAAAAAATGTATTTGAAGGGTTAATGTCAAGAACGAATGCTCAAAGACTAAAAGAATGTAATTCAAATTTAAGAATAAGCAGCCATGTTTAAGCAGAATTGACAAGATTCTCAATAGACAACTGACAAAAATACGGATTTAAGTAATGCAAAATTATAGGACTATACTGATGTTGGTATTTGTTTAACTGAAATTTTTGCATACGTTTATAAATAAGTTATAATTAAATAGGTAAACTTTACCTATTTAATTATAACTTATTTGCTATCGTGCACTCCTTCATTTCAGCACGCTATACAATACCAATTCTATTATTATTATTATTATTATTATTATTATTATTAATTCTGGATACGTATTCTCATTTCTTTGTTTTATTGAAAGTTTCCTTCGTTGCTTCATTGATGTAGATCCGATGATCTCATTTCATCCTCGTTTAAAGACCCCAATAAATAATACACGACACACCAACATAAGAAAACCTAAATTTAATATATAGCTTGACTATATTTTAAGAATAAATCAATAAACAACAGATTTATAATACCGTAGATACAAATTAGAAAGTAATGATCCCACATAGCAGAAATCTATTGTCATTTTGATTTTTACGCACACATGCTCACTGTGATTACCAAGGAAGCAAAGAACAGTCTAGAAGATAGGGTTTTTACCTTAGCTAAATAAATCAATACAGTTCATTAGAAATCAATGACCTACTTTCACAGAAAAGATTGGTTTAGTCATAGCTGAAGTTTCGCTTCTTTTTTTTAACCTGTCATATAAATATTGGAAATTCAAAAAAAAGAAAACAATTTTGCTTTTAGAACGCGAACGCATGTTCAAGACAAAAACTCCATAATATGCCAAATCTTCTCGACTCAGAACAAGAACGGAAAGAAAAGCGAAAAGCATGAATTTGCTGTGGATGCCTTCAAGTTTAAGTCTTGTGGGGGATAACGATTTTTTTTTCACTCTACAACCATTTTCCAATAGATGCAACATTGCAAACCTTGGCAAATGTTAATATGCGCTCCATTTCTTATTTTCATCAATTCAGATATTTTGTGCTAGGGTACACCATACTACTTCCCCGGAGCCGAATCATCCTCATTTCCTCCGTGTTCCAAATATAAGAAGTTTTCACTCAGTTTTTTTCCTCCCAATAAGTGCTTGTTTGTTGAATTGCCTCCCACATGGGTGCTGCATCGAACCCTTGAACCTTAACTTCTTCAAGTCAAGGTTTAATCGTTATCATCCTAATCCGCTCTTCCTGCTACTTTTGCTTCCATTTGTATCACACATCTCTTTTGTCATTACTATTTTGACTGTAACCTTCTACTTTGAGTGCATCTTGAGCCTTGAACTGGGTGAAATTTAGTAAAAAAAGATCTGCAATTTCATTTATCAGTCATTGCCAGGGAAGAAATACAACTCAATCCTCATCTGGAACTACTTTATTCTTCGAATTTCTAAGATTAAGATATCATCTCAAATAACTGGGATTAACAGATAATCTTTTTTGTGACTAGTTATATTGATCTCACAGCAACATATGATCACATCAATAGAGATTTGCTTTTGTCATCGATAAGAAAATGTTGTCCAGGCTCTGATTGCTTTCATTTGAAAGAAGGATTACTGTCATGTCACTTTGAAACACCGGTTCGCAAATGATCACCGAAGTTAAGCAACATCGACCCTGGTCAGTACCTATATGAGAAACCGTTTGGGAACAGCAGGTGCTGTAAGCTGTGATGTGAGGGTGGTGTAATGGATAACAGTTCGGAACTAGAACACTTCCAACAGCAGCAACAAAAATGGGTAGCACATGTTAACTCGATGTGAAAAGAATGATATAATCACGCTGATTACTTTACACACTATCAAAAATAAAGATTGAACGGTAACCGCTACCATTACGAGGAAGTACTATAACAGTGGACCCGGGAAAATTAATTTAAAAAATAAAATAAATATATACAAAAGATTTTTTAAATTTCAACCTACTGTAATACGAACTGCTCGATCACTAAAAAGACTATTTCTACTAACTCCATTAAATTAATCATTATCATTAGCATTTTACCATTATTATCATGTTATCAAGTCGTTATGCTGTGTGGTGTCTGATTCATAACGGAAGTTCGGCGCCTCTAGATGCTTTTGTTGTTTTAGACTGTTGTTTCAAGCGTGTGTCACTATTGCAAACCATACCAGAGGATGACCCAAGTTTTGAGCGTGAAATTGGGTAAAAGAAATGACTGTGCTAGAACGAGGTCAAATGTTATTTGAGCGTGGTGACCTTTTTCAAGCTGTTGCTCTCTTGCAGAAACTACGGACCGTTCAGGATAGTTGCACTATAAACTACAGATTGGTTATGTCGGTGTTGAACAAATACATAAGTATCTGAGCAGGCGTCTGCGAGCAGGAATTAGTTACTACCTTAGTAGACTGTCATATTCCGATACGAGCACTCAGCTATAGTGAAATTCGGTTCTTAGTAGTAACTTCAGAATTACCATTTAACGAGTATAAGAACATATCTCGTTCCTTTCTCAATATGCATTCGTTGGACAATGCCAGTTTAAACATAAACCTGAATATTAAGATTAAGACCAAATATAGGAAACATCAAGTGAAAAGCAAGCATACAAGTGCTCGGAATATTTTGCAAGCGTTTCAGGACAACAATCTTTCGCGAGTACCGACTAGATTTTTTGTCTTCTTTTTTTAAATGGTGTCACCCAAGCAAAGCATTACAGCCATGAACACGCAAGGGCTGCAGAGTGTGGATCAATTAGGAACAGCAACATTAGTAATGAGTAGAAAGAGAAAAGAGTAATCAGGTGGAAAGTAGATAGCGATTGATATTGCATTTAAATTTTTGCAGATTAAATTTGGCGGGAAAGTATAGAGCCGGAAGTGAGTTCCACAATCTAGAAATGTGAGAAAAGAAACTGTTAGCATAGAAGTTACGGTTATATTTAGCCAGTCAGCTGTAAATTGATGAGATCTCACCGCCAGTCTAGTATTCCGCTCAAATTCATACAGTGTAGGTACCATAGCGAAGAGCTCATCCGAACAATTACCTTGAAAGTATTTGTAAAAAGGCGCAGAAAGGCAACCTTACGGCGGTGGGCAACTGAGTGAAGCAAATCAAGACAATTAATATTGCTGATACTTCTTTGGATCTTATCAAGAAGGTTCAGAAAAAATAGCAGTGGCACCGGACCATATATGGCAACAATATTCTAAGCATGGACGAATAGTAGACTTACAGATATGCAAGATAGATTCAGGAGAGAAGAATTGTCTCGCCCGACACAGTGAACCTACTTTCTTAGCAGCTGACCTAGCAATAGATTCAATATAGTCTTTCCACTTCATGTCAGATGAGAACGTTATCCCGAGAAGGCACAATGAGTCACTTTCCTAGAGGATAGTATCAACCATGCTGGTGGAAAGCAAAGATCTCTCAAATGATTAACAGGGAGAAGTTTAGTTTTGGAGGACTTAAACTTGAGAAGCCATCTTTTGCTCCAGTTAACGGCGGTCTTGAAGTTGTTTTGTACATCAGCTGCCATAGTGCAGTAGTGTCTTCATTTTCCCTCCATTACAGCATAGAACACGGTCATAATTGATGCTGTAAGCCTGGATACGCGGGTGGTGCAATGGATAATGTCTCAGAATTGTTAAGCTGAGTTCCAATTTGAGTCAGGTGCGTTATATTCACTTATGTGAAAATACCCTTGGAAAAGGCATGAATCCATCTCTTCCCCACCGCAGTTATTAATTAGTAAGACTTGTATCACTTGTAGTCATTATTATTTAAAAAAACAATTCTCACAATCTAAAAATATTTTCTGGCTTTAAATAACCTGCAAAGAATTGAGAAGCCGTAGAAAAAGAACCAATCAATCAATGATCATTTTTTTGAGTGAATATTGCATTAATATTTTTTTTAGAATAACAATATTTCGAGACACAAATCCTACTATTTAAACTATAGCTGCGAGGAGGATATCAATTCATACATTTCCTAAGGTTATTTGTGCGTAAATGAACCCGACTGGAATTTGAACTTTGCTCTCCGATTAATATTTTCAAGCCACACAGACCAGAATGTGGGGCATGTTCATGAAACCAATTGAAACCAATTGATTACGATCCATTCTTTTCTGAAGAATAACATTTGAAAAATCTCCTTATCAGAGATACCAGCTGAGTAACATGGTTCGCTAATGTCCTTACTGTTAGGTTTTATGCATACCAGATCAATCATAGACTAATGCCTAATTATTCAAAAGCGTAAACTGTGCCACACCCATAGAAAACACCAAAAGCGTAATAAGAAGACAAGGTGCACATATTCCAACAGAAAGAAGCGAATGAATGGATATATACCTGTCTGGACGCAGAATCACAGATAACAACAATTTTTCTCTGAAGTTCAATCTTTTGTGCTAACGACATGTATTGATTGTAGTCCGAGTTTGTAGTTTGTGAATGTGGGATCGAATGCGATTGCTGATGAGTAGGGTTTGTCTTATAGCCAACCGTACCAACAGCTGGCGTGGAGGAGCAATTACGATGAGTTACTGTTGTGCCGTTTACTGATGGCGATAATGATTGTGTTGATGCAGTGGGTATTGTTACATGATTGCTTGTACCCGGGATACTCTGACTAACCTCAGACTGAAACCCTTCCTGTTTTTGAGATGGCGTACTCTTAGATGACTGTTGTTGAACCTGCTGCTTCTGAGGTTGAGGTTCCTGTAATGATTTACTTTGGCTCGATAATGAATTATCTGAGAGATATGGCGCATAAGCCGGCTGCAAAGGTTGTTGGTAAGATGGCTGGACATCGTTAACTGCTTCAACTTTTTCTTCTGTGAATTGGTCGGCTGAGTCTTGATTCTGAGGGAGTTTCTGTGCACTACTTGAGCCAGGAAGTTGATTTGAGTGACTTGCGCTCAAAGTTGGTTCCGGAGTTGGGGTTCTTTTCTTTTGATCGCTGTCTTTAGTTAAATGCGAAATGTCTACACTTTCCGAAGGACTTAGGTGACCGTAAGATCCTGGTGTGTTGGCAGATTCTGATTGATGCTTTGGTGTTGCTTGAGGTTTTGGTTCAGATGTGGTTTCCTGCAATGAAAGATAGCGCATCAGAAAACATTATTATTATTATTACTATTATTATTATTATTATTGAGACAAGCCTCATGCCAACAAAGTGACGATCGAATACAAATATACAAAATCCAATATACCTATCATGACATTCAGTTTGATAAAAATATATCAGGCACATTTCCTCACAGGTAAAAGTGCGCGATATAGCGATAATTTTCAGAAAAGTAGCGCATAACATTCAAATTGGGTAGTCCAGTCCGACAGTCTCTGATTAAGAAAGTTCCTAAGTAGCTAGATGTGACTCATAAGTTGTCTTGGCTACCTCATCCTTCAAACTAAAAAGAAAAAAAAACAACCCTCTCGTCACTCGGCTATGATACTCCTCTCTACTCCCACTCAACTGAGCTGTACAGTGCATCGTCTTCTAAGCGATATACCCAACTGGCTAAGCAACTCTGTGGTACTGAATGAGATAGTTACAACAACCCGTCTTAATGCCCCAAGATAAAACATGTAAATATTAACACGTCCAATCAATTAAGATCAGAAGCCATGAGACCCATGCCTGCTATTATTATTATTATTATTATTATTATTATTATTATTATTATAGTAAACGTAGAAAAATTAGTTCATTGATCTATTGGATTGTTTTTGAACAAACGAACAGTAACCGTGAAACCTCACGATTTTCCTATTTGAATTTTCTGATGTATCATAATATATAATGAATAAATAAACACATTGCAAATTCCACAACGACAAAATATCCGTTGAACTTCCTCTATTGTATCGTTAACTATTTGTGCTTAACAGCTTTAACCGAATATTATAATAACAATAAGTATGAATGCAGGTCATAATTTAAAGAAGTAAGAGGGTACAAACGAAAAGATTTGAAATTAACAAATGTTTCTATTTCACTAAAGCAGGCGTTAAATGCATGAGAACGTTATCGCCTCTTCTATCTTTTTTCTTTCTTTCAATGAAATCAACATTTCTGATGTCTTTTTCGTGATCAAAATGAAATAGCCCGGATTCAGAGAGCCGAGTTTAAATAACACTTGAATCCATTACGTTCACTTACGTGCTAATACCTTTTGAAAAGGTATGAATCTTCTTCTTCTCCCCACAGCATTGGTTAAATAGCAAGACAGAACGGGTTCTGTAGCCTTGGATGGCAACTGGTCTACCGCAGAAAGAAATGGTAACCTAATGCGTGAAAAATCTGTCTTGTCAGTCATGTATCGAAAGATACATGATCGCCTAAGCATGTATCACGCATGGCACGCATGGCGCAGACTGTCAGGGTGTAACGTACGCGCTAACTAACGCATGGACGAAGGAACAAACAGATTTATAACATGATGCCATTGTATTGACAACATATTTCGTCTTTTTGGTTAAATCTAATAAAACCTATTTCAATTATAAGCTAAATATAAATATATCACAAGTCAACTGATAAAAAACCATACAATCAAATTCATTCATTTCAAGACAGACGCTGAATGCACTTCTTAAAAATGTTTTGCCATTGGATTCAGGCAAATGGGTTGAATTAAATCTCTTCATGATAAACTGTTTGGAAATACTGATTGCTTACATTGACTGTCTAA